CCTTAAAAGCTTCTGAGGGTGGTTGACTGAGATACCCTCACTTTTAGCTGGGAAGGCCGAGGTGATGGGAGTGAGATAAAACAGCAAAAACTAGCAGAGGGTCAGGAAGGCCGGAAAGATGGCTAGCTTCCTTCAGATAGGTGTGCTAACTAAGACCGATTTAAGAGCAAGGACCTGAAAGGAAGAACACAATCCTTCACCTGTTTAAAATAAAGCAGCTAGGGATAATTGATCTATTAAAGTAGACTTCCAGCATTCATGTCCTTTTCCCATGCAATCTGCTATAAATCTTGCACCACTCTATTTGAAAGTGAAAAAAATCTGATCTGAACTTTAATCAATGCCAATACAGTCAAACAGGAAACGTCTTTCATTGGAGTTGTTTCTAACCATATGATTCTCTGCTTTCAACAGTATGGGAAATTTAACTAAATTTCTGATTTTCTTCATGCAGATCAAGATTTATTTTGTAAAGTAATACTGAATAAGATTTAAGTCTGCTGTATTTCTACGGATGTTTAGCATGGGATAAAACCAAGAAAAGAAGAGAAAGAATGATTGCTGCTGCTACTACAACATCACAGCCCTTCCAATTGTTGCTATTATTTCGATGGAAGAAAATGACCAAACCTTGGTTATTCTAGAAGGAAAGGGGATTGAGGCCTTAGGAAACTTCAAGTGAAGTCTCAATTTTACTACTGTGCAAGTAAATGACTTTTTCTTTCACCAGTTCAGCTATCAAACTGGGAGACAGAAAAAATGATCAATCAGCTTTGATTTGCTTGCTCCACACATTTTTCTTAAAAAAGTAAATTCTAAACATTTCAATTTGCAGAATCTGTAACAAACAAAAAGCAAGGAAGGTGATAGTCTGGTACCAAACAAGAAGGTAAATTATGTTCCTTTTTATCTAGTAACGCAGGGTTTCTGCTGTTTACCTAGGATTTAGAAGCCCAGGTTTAGTTACCTTCTCTGTTGGAGAAAATACGATTCCACATTTTTCACTTTCCCAGGGAATCCTCTAACCATAAGGCTATACGAAATTTTAGTATAAATCCTGCTCTAGTTGTTACCCTGTTCTGCCTAAATACTGTGTACAACAGCAACTGGACCAGGGACTCATAATCAGAATTTTCCATTGCCTAGGAATATGCACAGTGTTATAAGAAATGAATCTCATTTCATCTGAAAAAAAACACTTTTTCAGTGCAGTAACTGCTGAAATAAAATGATACAAGCATACTGACATTGACTGCATAGTGGCAACAGATCCCAGTGGAAATTCTCAGGACATAACTTTAATCCATTTTGAAAAATGGTTGGTTGATGAGTGGGCTTTCCTAAATAAATTTTTAATGCAGGGGAAAATACAGTCAGAGTATATTCTACAGGCCAACAGTACGTTATCGCACTCACATTCTCTCAGACACAGTGAATACTTAACTAAATATTTTACATCAAATAGAGCGATCTCAATAGAGCAACAGAGATTTCCATTCAGTATTGCCTCCAAATTCAAAATCTGTTAAGTAGAGGAAAAGAACAAAATATGAATCCTTCACACCCAGGGGAAGCAGTAACCACAGACAATTTGAGAAAATGCTCCAGTGTTGTACTGTCAACAGTGCAAAAACTAGATGGCTTATTCAGCATAAAATTGCAAATTGTTTTGGTCAGCTGAAACTTAAATTTTTCAGCAAATAAACAAGCTGTAAAAACAAAAATTATTCATCCTTACCCAGATTTCTTCAGTCTGACTTTGCCTTTCAGAGTCCTAGGAGATTTGAAGTTATAAAACAAGCCCAATATAAAGAGCTATAAGTAGTGCCTTAGTGCTCTTCTAAACAAGTAGACATTACTATGAATATTACCGAAAATAAAACACGATGGGTTCAGTATAAAATCCAGCAGAATACATTTAAGCAAATGATAGTTTCATGAAAAAGTCTGTATTTCTCATACTGAGAATTAGAATCTGACAAAATTGAAGATACAATTAAAAGTCCAGGGTAATGTAATTTGAAAAGATCCCTCAAAGGATGTTTTGCTTTAACTTAGGTTTTCAAGTTTGACCTGATGTGTTGCTCAAGATTAAGTTCCTGGGAAAAATAAAACAGGCTTAACAGAACATTTCTACTCTTAGGTAGACAGCACTTAAATTACTGATTGTAGCATTACAGTAACACAGTAAAACATGTACTATGCTCATTAAGGACTACTCTTAAGTCTGATCTTGCCTAATACAATCATGTGTGAGCAAAGTGGTTTAAAAAGAAAAGGGGAAAAAAAGAAAAAAAAAAGATACCACTTGCTCTGTCAAAACTTCAAATTAGCCCTGAATTTTAGGTACGATTTAGGAAAAGAAAAAACAGTAATCCTTGTGATAGTCATCCCTTTAAGTGCCCATGTTAATAGTTCACTGTCTGGCCCAAACGCACTGACCTGTATGTAGGTATGAACATATTACCAGATACAGCCAAAGGAAAAACAGAGTAGTGATTATATAATTCATCAAGAACATTGGATAGTTTGAGCCTCATGCTAGCTTCCAGACGTCCTTTTCTTTCCTTACTCCTATCTCCTCTGCCCCAGGAACAGTTTCTTCCACAAGTTGCCTTCTAAATAAAAAAAAAAAAAAAAATATATATATATAGATAGATAGATACATACATACATACATACACACACACACAGACACACACACGACTACGATGTGCTTTCTTTTCTTCTACTATACTGTAAGGAAAAGCGCCTTCTGGAATACTCGGCCTGCTGTAATATCCACAGCAGGGAGCTCCTCTAGCATAGCAGCATTCTTCAGCATCAGTCAAAATATTTTAAACACATAACGTGCAGAAATATCAGGATGGCTTTCACTCCATGTACGTCCTGGAACGCCAAAGCAGCACAGGGCGTCTGCTGTTCACCTTCCTTACCCTTGTAATTGCACAGAAATCCCAGCTGCACGCAAATGTGCAACATGACCTCCTGCTCTCATTAGAAGCTTTTTTCCAAGCTCATAATTCAGAAGTGCTTCTCTTCATGCAAGGCTACTTTCGTGGCAAATGTCAGCTTTCTGGACCTAGCCAGCTGTGCAAAATTTCTCTGATCTGATTCACATAAATACTTTTTTTATTTTTTTAAACAGTACTTTTGTTGCCTTCAGTGACTTGGTAGCATGTTTAGCTACATGCTGCCTGCAGGTGATGTGCAAAATTGGGGCATATTTCTAGGATTAGATCAGTATAGAAGGTTAGAGGGTTATTTGTCTTTCATTTCTGTCTTCCTAATTTTTCCTGATAATATTCATGTTGATAATCACAGAAAATATTACCGTGGCTTTACTCAGACGCAGTTCAAAGAGATGAAATGTGTCCATTTATCTGGTGTTTACCCATAAAAATAGTCCTGGTTAACCCACCATAAAATGTGAATTCCAGCAAAATATGACTGTGATTATTATATCCTGATATATTCTGCAGCTACCTAAAGGTTTCAGGATTTTTCCTCTTTTTCAAGAACCTGTATAATTTTATGATTGGTATTATTAAAATTTTAAATTTGCATCTCACTATCACGTACTACCATCTCAATTTTCTACTGTTTACTTCTTGCAATCTTAGAAAAGAGTTTATGCATTCCTCTTGCACAGTATCACAATAAAACAATCTTTGTTTTGCTGAAATTCTACAGACAGCATTTGGTTTACTGCAGAAGAACTACAGGTTTCTACTGCTATTCATCAGCAGTTACTTTCCAATAGAATCCAAAGAGCAGAACAGACTTTTTCACTAAAATGAAACGCAGTTATTAGTGAAGGGAAAACAACCTATTGGTCAGGCCACAGAATCACTTGTAGTTAACAATGCCTTCCTCCTCCCACTCTCATTTACCTCTCCCAACCGAAGACGATATCGCTTCTAAAAAGTGTATTAGATTTCTTGCACTTTAATCTCAAGTTCATCCTAAAAACGACAAAAGAATTTTATGTAGTTATGTCTGTAATGTAAATGAAAATTTATTTTTAATTCTTCCCTCTGAGTACTGCTTTTTGCTTGATGTTCTACATTTTTTACTCTATCATCTATTCAGATACAGTCTCTGAAAAATAAAATAGCGATCAAGCATGGGACTGTAGACTCATGTGAAGAATTTCATTAAAGTCTTGTTTAAACAGATCTCCCCACTAGAACAAAAAAAAAAAAAAGAAAAAAAGAAAAAAAAAAAAGAAAGATATGGGATTTGGACTATCATCTGCCGGTTACTGGCTCAAATCCAGCTCAGCTCAGAAGTTAACGTAAATCATCATGAGCTCACATTTGTTCTGAGAGCTACACAAAAAAAGTTCCTGTTTTCAGTCCAACATCTAGCGGAAGGGTGCCCACATCATAAAAGCTACTATTATAATTAACACCAATTATTGATCTAGTCAGAATTATGTCCATTGATGAGGCACAGTAGGAATTACTCTCAAGTGATGCTTGTGATATACTCAGCTGATAAATTTTAATGATGGCTCCTAGTAGCATCAGTGGAACAAGGAGGGAGAGGAAGAGAGAAAAAGAATTTCAGGTTCCAGAGGCTATGAATTTAGAAATTTTCATAAATATTTAACCTTAAAAATAAAAATGATCCATAGCAACCTTTGACTACTGAAATACTTACTACATATTCTGAAGATTTGAGGTTACAGAACAAAGATAGCACAATAAAATACAGTTTGACT